CACACGCAGACCCACGCAGACACAGACACACGCAGACACACGCAGACACACGCACACACACACACACACACACACACCCGCACACACACACACACACACACACACCCTTAAGCGCCTTCACAGGGTTCTAGAGCTCCAGAATTTCAGAATTTCAAGGGTTCGGGGGGGAAACCGATAGCATAACCCCCGACATCTGTAGCATAAAAAAGGGCACCTTCAGCATAAGAAAAAGCACCTTCCAGCATAATGGGGGGGGGAGCATAATCAAAAAAGTGGCGGAGCATAAGAAAAAAATCGCCGGGGCAGACCGCATAAGAAAAAGCGGGGGGAGCATAAGAAAAAAATCGCTGCCCTTTAGGGTTTAGGGTTTCTTTAGATTCCATGGTTGGGACGTAAAACCCTACTCGTACAAACCTAAAACCCCATGAATCCGTGCGGTAGGGAGCGCGCCCCTAAATTTAAAGACAGGCTCATACACTGATGCGCACCCTCAACCCTCAACCCTAAAACCCTGCAGCCCTAAACCCAAGCAAGAAAGCCCTAAACCACAAAACCCTAAACCCTACAATCTTCTCAGCCCTAGACGTCAAGCTTTCCAAAGCCCTTGGCCCTCAACTTCAAACTAAACCCTAAACCCTAAACCGTAAACCGTAAACCCTAAACCCTAAACCCTAAACCCTAAACCCTAAACCCTAAACCCTAAACCCTAAACCCTAAACCCTAAACCCTAAACCCTAAACCCTAAACCCTAAACCCTAAACCCCCTCACACCCTTGGGATGGCAAGCGCCCCATGGAGCCCAGGCGACGTAGCGGAGATCGAATCGTGCCGACCCTGGCCTGTGCACACCAGGAGGATGCTCCTTCCGTCGACCTTGTGGTTCTCTGAGGTAGGGCCTTTCAACCCTAAACCCTGAACCCTAAACCCTAAACCCTAAACCCTAGACCCTAGACCCTAAACCCTAAACCCTAAACCCTAAACCCTAAACCCTAAACCCTAAACCCTAAACCCTAAACCCTAAACCCTAAACCCTAAACCCTAAGCCCTAAGCCCTAAGCCCTAAGCCCTAAACCCCCTAAACCCTAAGCCCTAAACCCTCCCGTTTGGGATCCTTATTGCAAACAAGGGCGCTGGACTCTATAGGGGACCCAAAAAGAGGCCCTAATGTCGAGAACTACCCGTATAGCGTAATACGCAAGATAAGCCGTGTGAGTGTGTATATATTTCTGCATCGTATAGTTAAGTAGTAAGATGTATCTTATATTCTACTATATGTTGATCGTCGAGGTTCAATATGCTCCTACAGTCCCTCATTGAGAAGGGTGACTTGGAGAAGGTGGGTGGGAAATGCGGCTGCATCTGATGCGTATGAGAGCACTCCCATTCCTCTTGCAACTTTCGCTCGTGGTCGAACGAACGAAGCCTTACGACTCAAGCACTCGGCCCGTGCGCGTCATGGTGGACCGGAGCAAGAATGAACCACCAGATCCTGCAGGCCACCGCAGCATCTGCAAGCATCTTTCCACATACTATTTAACACACGCTGCATGCATCAGCCATGGCGTCCAGAGCCCCAGCTCTCGTAGCCTGCCTGAATTCGTCCATGACATGAAGTAGGGTTTATCTTTCTTGTACCCCCAAAAAAGGACACCCGGTATATACACTCACCAAGATTAAAAAGGAACCTTATATACACTCACCAAAAACAGTAACATATACCCTGTCCCATATACTTATGACTGATGAGCTCTCTAAGTCAAGGCCCCTTTCCCTGGTGCTATTTGGAGAGCCTCCCAGATGTAACACCATGGCCAGCACCTTAAACCTTAAACTAAATATGTAAGCCCAAACCCTGAACCCTGAACCCTGAACCCTCAACCCTCAACCCTCAACCCTAAACCCTAAACCCTAAACCCTACAACTGTTTCGAGTATTCCTGGTACTGGCCCAGGCACCTCAGGAGAAGGATGCCCTGCCAACGTCGCAGGAGGCATCAAAAAATCCCTTCCGGGCGGTTTAGGGTTTAGGGTTTAGGGTTTAGGGTTTAGGGTTTAGGGTTTAGGGTTTAGGGTTTAGGGCTTTGGGCTGATTTAGTGTTTACAGGGTGACTGTCTAGGGCCCAGGGCTCAGCGTGTTTGTTGATTTGTTTGTGAAGCCGCGGGCTCCCCCAACAGAAGTTTGTTCTAGGGTTCGGCGTCTCGGGTTTAGGGTTGGGGGTTTCGGGTTTAGGGTTTGGGGTTTAGGGTTTGGTGTTTAGGGCTTGAATTTGGGTTTTGGGGCTTGGGGTTTATGATTTCTGTCTGTTTTGGTCAGGTCAGCTTCAGTCGAAAGTCGACGTTCACGGAGGAGAGTGATGCTCCCCGCTGGAGCAGGCAAGGGGGCACATCGTGCACCCGAAGCCCGAAACCCCAATCCCGAAACCCCAATACCCTAAACCCTAAACCCTAAACCCTAAACCATATTGTTCAAGCACAAGTCTGACCGTGCTGACAACCTTGAACTCTAAACCCTAAAACCCGATCCCTAATTAAACCCCAACCCTTGAGAAGCCCAAGAAGGGTGCTTACGGTTTAAGGGTTAAAGGGTTTAGGGTTTAGGTTTAGGGGTACTTCAAGCCCTAGAAGGGTTTTTTTTGGACTTAGGGTCCTGCCCCAAACCCTTCCAGGAGCTCGTGGGGCGCCGCCACCTCACCCAAGTTTCTGGGCAACGAGGCCATCGCTTGAACGCGATGTTTGGGGTTTAGGGTTTAGGGTTTAAGGTTTAGGGTTTAGGATTTAGGGTAAGTCCTAAACCCTAAGCCTCAGGGCCTCAGTCTCTCATGTACGGCAGGCTTTTGGTTTGACTCGTTCTCGCGCGCTCATGCTCACGTCCTTACCGGTTCTCTCTCTTCACGCAGGGCGCTTCCAGTCCCATGGGGGATTCCAAGAACAGGACCCTAAACCCCAAGCCCCAAACCCGGGCAGTCGAGCTATGGCTGCAGGAAGGCTCCACCGTCCGAGCTTGTTGTGCGCAAGCTCCTTCCCCATGTTTGGCTCTTGGCCCCTGAGTTCCCAAAGCCCCAGAAGCCCTAAACCCTAGCCCTAAACCCTAGCCCTAAACCCTAAACCCTAAACCCTAAACCCTAAACCCTAAACCCCAAACCCTAAACCCTAAACCACATCCGGGCCTACTTGCACGAGGTGCTGTCCACCAGCACGGACCTGAAAAACCACAAGTCCGGCGTCCAGCCCCTGCCGCCGAAGAAAGACAAGAAGGGCGCGCTGAGCCTTGCTGTTGTTTGGGGTTGAGGGCTTAGGGTTTAGGGTTTAGGGTTTAAGGTTTAGGGTTTAGGGTTTAGGGTTTAGGGTTTAGGGTTTAGGATTTAGGGTTTAGGGATGCTAGGTTCTCTACACCGCTTCTGACCTTTGGGGCTTCTTCAGGCCTAGACCAGCTCTCTGAATTTGGAGTATTTTCGACCTGGCACGAAGACTCCCACAACTCTGGCGCTCCTGGGGGGAGGGGGGTGGCTATGAAGGCCATAACCCTGACATTTTGTTCATGGTAGGACAACATGTGCATGTATTGGGTTCAGGAGTACCTTTTTTGGGGCATCCTTTCATGGGCCGACCTCGTCTTTGACTTCCCACCTCAACCCTGAACCTACACCCTAAACCCTACACCCGAAACCCTACCCCGCACCCTAAACCCTAAACCCTGAACCCTAAACCCTAAACCCTAAACCCTAAACCCTAAACCCTAAACCCTAAACCCTAAACCCTAAACCCTAAACCCTAAACCCTAAACCCTAAACCCTAAACCCTAAACCCTAAACCCCAAACCCTAAACCCTAAACCCTAAACCCTCCCCGCACTGTCGAATCGAAGTCTTAGGATTTAGGGTTTAGGGTTAGGGTTTAGGGTTTAGGGCTTCGGGTGAACTGAGGAGTGGCGTGTTTGTGCCGACCTGCGCCTCCTGGCAGCGAGTATTGGCATTAAGCTGCAGCTTAGGGTTTGGGGTTGCTTCGGGTTTGGGGTTACTTGGGGTTTAGGGTTTGGGGTTATGTAGGGTTATGCAGGGTTTAGGGTTTGGGATTTTGTTAGGGTGTACGGTTAAGGGTTTAGGGGGGGGGGAAGTCTTGCAGGACAAATGCGTTTGAATCATGGCTTGATGTCGGATGTGGCCGGTCAAAGAACCCTATCTTGGTAGCCAGTGGTACCCTTTACCTCTTCTTTTATTGCTTATAGGTTTTCTTTTCAAATAACCTTAAACCCTAAACCCGAAACCCTAACCTTTACCTCTCCTTTTATTGCTTATAGGTTCCCTTCTCAAATAACCTTAAACCCTAAACCCGAAACCCTAAACCCTAAACCCAAAAAGCGTGTGCCCTTATCAAATATGGCCTGTCAGATACCCTATAAAGAACCCTCAACCACGAGTTGCCTGAGAACCCCCCCCCCCCCCCCACCAAAAAGGAAGACATGCAAATTATTCCTCCTTATATGTAAAAATCACTCCTCCTTACAAGGGTAATATATGGATGATTATCTTTTTGGAGGGGGGGGGGGGGGCGGTTCTTAAGCAAGTTGTCAACCCTAAACCCGAAACCCTATGTTTCAGGTCTGGCTCTGCATGTTCAGTCACTCTCGAGAACCCTAAACCCTAAACCCTAAACCCTAAACCCTAAACCCTAAACCTAAACCCTAAACCCTATACCCTATACCCTATACCCTAAACCCTAAACCCTAAACCCTAAACCCTAAACCCTAAACCCTAAACCCTAAACCCTAAACCCTACGCCCTTAGCAGGAGCCTTGTAACGCAAGCGTGGAGCTGTCCGGCTGCTGCCAGGAAAACATGTGGGGCGTGCTGATCTTCCTGCGGTTCTACTACATAGCGGCTTGGCAGCCCCTAAACCCTAAGCCCTCAACCCTAAACCCTAAGCCCGAAGCCCTATACCCTAAACCCGAAAGCCTAAGCCCGAAACCTTCAACCTTAAAACTCTAAGCACTAAACCCTACAAC